TTTTTTTTTTTTTTTTAATTTATTTATTTATTTATTTATTTTATTTATTTATTTTTTTGTCTTTTGTCTTTTTCCGTGTCCGGCAACGGATCGCAACCCTCAGTGTTGCCCCCGTACCGGACCGGGACCGGCAACGGGATTGCAACCCTCGGTGTTGCTCCCGCGCCTCGCTCAGCCAGTGAGCGGGAACCGGTTGTATGTGGGATCCAAACCCTCGGGCGGGAGCGCCGCCGCACTTCCCAAGCGGCACACTATCCAGTGCGCCACCGGGCCGGCCCTTTTTTTTTTTTTTTTTAAATTTATTTATTCTCTCTGCTTTCTTTTCTCTGCTCTGCCTTCCTGGTTTCCTGTGTGTGAACTCCCCTCCCTCTCCTCCATGACTGAGCAGGCTCCAGCCTGAGCACCCAATTCACCGCAACCAGACTCCTGTGCTGCTTCTCTTTATTGTCTATGTCTACCCCTAGGGTGGTGAAGGCAGAGGGAGGCTGTCCCCACCCCACCCCCAGCTGGCTACATTTTCCATTTTCTGATTTCCTCTTCCTGAGTCCATTGAAGCTGCAGGGTTTCATCTGGAGAGAGAAGAGTTTGGGTTAATGGCTCTCTTGTAGTAGGCATAAGATCTTGCCCATGTGACCCCCAGATTCCTGAGAACCTACCCATTCAGCCCTCTACCTCCCTGGTCAGTGCAAGACCCTCTTTGCCTCTGCCCAAGCTCATGTCTGCACTCAATCTGGCTTGGGGGGTTAAGGATGCTTCCGTGTCCACTCTCTGAACTCCCTGGGCTTTGCCAGTCCAGTCCCTTGGCCACTATCAACGGACACCAGTTGGACACCACTTGAGACATACTGCCTCTGGAGGACAAGGAAGTACCTGGAGTGGGGTGGGGTGGCAGAGAGGAGTCAGAGGGGAGGCATGGAGCCGGTGGGTGGTGCCAAGCTGGAGGGGGCCCCAACACTTTTTGAGCCTCCCTGCTCCTCTCTTGTACAATGTGGGCCTTGGATTCCAGGGTTTTTAGGGCCTCTCTTACCACCTGTTGTTGAGGTACTGGCCTGAAAGGATTGGAGGGCCGGGAGATGGGAGCTTGCCAAGAGCCCAGCCAGGGAGAAAGCAGTCTGGTGCCCTCACCAGGCTGTGATGGTGTCACTGTCCCTGTCAGAGAGTTTTCGGTGGCCCTGTGATACCTAAAGGGGCCTCCCATGTGTTCCAGTAGATGGACCTCAGTGCTTATGGGATTTTATTTAATTAATTAATTTATTTATTTTTTATTATTTTTTTTCTCAGGATCCAAACCCGTGGCCTTGGTGTTATTAGCACCGCACTCTACCGAGTGAGCCACAGGTCGGCACGCTTATGGGATTTAAAATAACCCAGGCCAAGCCTTGGAAGCATCATGGGATCAGGGTTGGGGCACCTATCAGGCTGCTGGTCCTCAGCCCTCTTGCCTCCAGGTGGACACCTGGGCTCTCACTGTCCCGCTGCTCATCTTCTGTGTCCTCCTCAAGCTCTGGGTGGGAGCAAGACCTCAGGTATATTCCTTTGCTGTAATATTCCTTGCGTTGGTCATCAATCTCCTGCTCCAATGTAATGGAGGCTGAAGGATGAGGAAACTGATTTCTGCAGGTAGAGGAATCTGAGGAATCACCCAAATCAGTATGAGTCTTATGGCCACCTGCTATATCCATGCCTCCTAGGTGCCCATTGTGGGCCCCACCATAGGGGAGAAACTCATGTCTCAGATTCTCATCTCATCTACTGCTCTTACTCCCCCTATTTTAGAAAACCTCCAGTGACCTCTCCATCCTCCATGGTTCTCCTGAACTTTCTGTTCCTCACCAGCCAACCATCTCTGGGGGCTATACTGCATGGGGACCCTACTCCAGCTGCCCTTTTTCTTCCCTGGGGTCACCTCCTAGCATTACTTCCCTGTCAGGCAGCAGAGCCTTGGGCCAATGCCCACTGAGGAAGACAGACTATGGTGCAGAAGTGAGGAACAGCCTCTGGACCACAACTCCCTTGAGTCCCTGGAACCCCACCATAGCTAACCCTTGGCTTCTAGGATGTGGCTCCTGGTCACTGGGTCAGTCTCATCTTTGACTCCTCTGGCCAGTCCTCTTGCCCAGCCTCTCTCCACAGGCCTGGGCTCTGGGTTCAGCATCACACCTCGACCGTCACTGCTGATACTCCTGTTGCTGTCCTCATCATCATCCAAGAGCAGGTTTTTCTGAGCCTTGAAGAACTTCCCTTCATTGTAGTGTGCCTTGCGGTGCTTATCAAAATCACTGGAGTCTGTTGGCCAGGGTGAGAGCTTGGCTTCCCCACTGGACTCTTGAATAAGGTTCACTCTGCCACCCCTTCCCATGATACCCACCCTTCATCTCACGTGTCTTGTAAAATTTGTCTGGAGACCCTGAGCTTCTGTTATCACCATACTGAAGGACCTTGGGGCTGAAATTGTCCATGGTTGCAAACCTGAAGGGGAGGGATACAAGTTGGGGTTCCAAAAGGAGAAAACAACACTGGGGCCAGGTGGTAGATGGGGCAAAGCTGGCTGGGATCCCAGATCGGTCTTGGTCAGGCCGGATGGAGATTGTTGTACCTGCCATTTTGGGGACCAAAAAGCAGAGCTGCTTCAGACTTGAGTTCAAAAGCGTAGGAAGAGGCCCCAAACCCCAACTGATCTCTGGCAGGACTCTCACCTCTCTGCCAGTGCTTCAGGAGTCACCCTCTGGGAGGATCCCGCAAACAGGTCCTCATCACTGTCCTGTGGCCTGCAGAGGAGATGGAAGCAGTGCAGAGAGGGGCACCAGGCAGTATCCAGTCCCCGAAGCTTCCCCTCCTTTGAGTAGAGAAAAGAGTCTGGGCTAAAGGACTGGGGCTGAGGGCTCAGCACCTGTGGTAGGGAGTGCCGGGCTCATCCACCTTCATAAATCCGTAGTCCTTGTCAGCAGGGTGATAAGTGGCCTGGATATTCATCTCATCCCAGCGCTGAGACTTTTTCCTGGGGTAGGGGGAGACTTTCTAATGAACCCCTCCTCACAGCCCTCTCTCATTCTTCCAGTCACTCAAAAAACTTTTCTTACACCCCCTCGTAGAGGCTGGGAGGGGCCCAGACCCTATGACAATCGCGGTACTATGCAGCCAGGATTTATGGGGCACCTGCTGTTCTCCCAAAGGTCTGAAACCTCAGATTTCCCACTCGTTTTCCCTCACCTACTCTCAATCCTAATTCTCATGACTCCACCACTCCCTCCTAGCTCCAATCCCTCTAGTGTCCTGAACTCCATCCTCCTGGTTCTGGGCCACCTGCCAGCAGCAGAGCTGGGTTCCTTACTTCTCCCCACTGGGGGATTTCTGTATCAAGTTGGACCTGCTGTTTTTTAGGATGCTCCGGGGACGGTCCTCATAGGAGTTGTAGGAGTGTGAGCAAGTTGATCCAGAGTGAGGACTGTACGCCGAGCTGTTCACTCCAGGCCCCCCGGGCCCGGGACTACACGCCCCGGAGACAGTGGTTCCACCAGTGTATGTGCAGGACCCAAGGCCGTGGCCCGCAACCTTCCCAGGGTGTTGACTGGACCCGGAACCGAGGGCCACGTCCCCCTGGGAGGGCTGGCTTGAACCAGGACCGCGAGCTACGATGCCTCGGGAGTGCAGAGGGGGCCCAGAACCCTGAAACAAGACTACTCCGGAGGGCAGTCCAGCTTCTGTCTCAACTACTCTGACCCCTGCGGGTACCCCCCTGGTTGCCTCTCCGGAGGATTCCTCGTTGAAGCCACCAGCAGCCAGCAGAGACTGTTGCTTCTCTGTGGCCTCACCCGGGGGCCGCTCTCAGTTACCCGGCCCCGCCTGCTGTTCCACATAGCCCCGCCCCGAGGTCCCGCCCCCTCCGCGGCGGGCGGGGACTCTCGTCCCGAGGTCCCGGTCCCCACCCCCTCAGCTCCCTGGCGCCGCGGTGGGCGGAGTCGAGACTCTACAGGGAACTCAGGCTGGGAGCCCCTTTGCTCTCCTTTCCCGTTTTGTCCCACCCTAGGGCTTTCTTTCTTTGTCTCTGCGATTTGTTCCCGCCATTCCCCTCCATCACCGGAGCTCCTCCTAATCAGCCAATCGTAGCCAGGAAGCCTGGCCAGGGGGCGAGAAGCCTAATTTGTTACGTCACAGTCCTCCAACCTTAGCGCGACCATGCGAGGGTTGGGCTGGGGGCTTGTTAACAGCCCTGGGGAAACCAATTGGGATCGTCAATGTCATTGCTGGAAACTACCTGTCAGCGTTTCTTTGAACTCTTTATTTGTGGCTTTAAAGTCTAAGAGTTTGGTTGGATTGGGGTTCAAACTGGACTTGACTTGAAATATCCGCGCGCTTTTTTTCTCCCCCAAATCGGCTCGCTTTGCCTCTCAGGAGAGGTGTGATGCTAAATGGTGGGATTGCGACACTGCCACAAGGCATTTCCGGTCTCAGGAGCGTGAAGGGCAGAGACTTTGATTTATAAAGCTACCGCTTCTCTTCCTCTGGGTCCTCCAGCCTCAACACGTACCGCTTCGAACCGTGTATCGCGAGGGGAAGACACCTCCCTCTTCCCGTAAAGCAAGTACTTCTAGGTGTCACCTCCCTCGGCGAGGGCGGGGTCGTCGGTGCCGCTGTCGCAAAGCCGAAAGTGTTTGGGCGCCAGCACCTTCTGTCGTAAAGATGCCTGCGGCAGGCGTTTTTTCCTTCCACTGTCGCAAAATCTCCCTGCCCCAGTCTTCAACCCTCTCGGGGCCACTCCGTCACCTCGCCGTGCCGTAAAGCAAGCCTCCCAACCCCGTCGTCCTTCTGTTCCCACCGTGGTAGGCATTAGCTCCCCGGCCGGGGATGCTCCACTGCCCGGCAGTGCCGTAAAGCATACCTGGCCCTAGCCCCCGGTCGTATTCCCTCGGCGTGTCCGTCCATCGCGGTTGCCACGGTGCCGCCAAGCACGGCTGTCGCGCGGCCCCGGTGTCAGCGGCGATGGCGGCGGGGTCGGGTGGGAGTGGGGGCTCTGGGGGAGGTCCCGGGC